TCCCCTGGCATTCCGCCATGACCATTGGAAATTCTGCAGAAGATCCCAGAGAGGCTTGTATCCAAGAAGAACGGTTCCAGGGTAGTTTTCAGGAAGGTCTGACCAAACTGAAGTACTTGAGATCATGGGTTCAGTAGGGGTGATAAGAACAGACTTCAAGAGATTTTCTCAAAATAGGGAATAAGAAGATGAAAGTTTTCCTCGACCCCAGAAGCCAGCGTGACCTGAAAATCCAAGATCCTGACGTCTTTGTCAAGGCTTTTCATAGAGGTATTGTTGTGGCAGGGGAATTGATGCTTCGAGGTCAGTGTTCTCCAGGGACCTGAGGATTGCAGCCCCAGCCCCTGTCCTGACCCTCCTGTCGATCCCACTGCCATGCTTCTGGGGCTGCAGAGGGTCAGGGAACAGACGTTGCTTTGTACTGGAGGTAGGTTACTCCTCATGATGTTGCAATAGCCAATGCAGGTAGTCATTTCTCGATACCAGTGAAGATGCACATATGTGTGTTGGCTCTATTTTTTTATTTCAGTTAGTCAATTTACAAGCTTGAAGCTGGAACCCTCCCTTGGCATTGTGCTGGGAGGCAGCGTTATCAAAAGCCGTGAATGTTGTGGCCGAGAAGCTCTTGACACTTTGCTGCAACTGCTTGAGGGAAGGGTTGATGTTTTATAGCATATATAAACCCGTTCTGCACAGGTGCAATGGCATTAATTCAACCACAGTATATGCAGTGGTTTATTCTTTTTCTCTTCTTTTTCTCTTCTTTTTCTCTTCTTTTTCCTTCCCAGAACACCCTATGAAGTCCTGGAGCAGGCACTAATGGAAGGCCCTTTGCAAACCTCCATTCACTTGTGCCATGAAAATGGTCAATGGATGTCACGATTACCAGAGCAGCTCTGGGATGTTCCCCTCTATAACTTAGCTCTTCCAGGTAAAGATTAACTTTTGTTCTCCACTGTTTTGTTAGCATGTCATTTAAGCATTGGAACATCCTGTTTGTCCTATTTCAGGATGGCTACGTTTATTATTTGGGTCAGTGTGTGGGAGAAGGCCTTGGAGGAGGGCTTGTGTGACCTGTGTGTGCATATGAATACTTACAGTCTGTAATCTTTGGGGTTTCTTGGAGGGGATGGAGAAAAAAGGATTTTTTTTCTTTTTTTTCTTTTTTCTGTTTTTGAGGGAAGGAAAGAAAGAGGAACTTTTTCGCGGTCCCTGTGCATCATCTTGTCAGATCAGTGTTAATAATCTGAGCATTTGCTTACCTGGGCAATAGTGAGATTTCCCTAATTCGTTCTTGCCCCTTCCTACTTAACAAACCGATTCCAAAAGGAGAGAAATAACATTTTACCCTATTACTTGCTTCTTTGTACTGTTCAAAAGAGGCTGTGAAAGTATGAACAAAAGAGGATGGAGAGTTTTAATTAACATAGGTTTTTATTAATGTAGAGTGTGACTTTTCTGCATAACCCTGCTTACAGAAACTGAATTTATCCTATTATGGGCAAATACAGCTGCGCTATAGCTGGTGTCCTCATTAGTGCTAGATTCAGACCTGTGTATCATTAACCTTTCTTTGGTCATATTGCTTCTCTCTGCTGCCTCGAATAGATGATTTTTTTTTTTTCTGTCCAAAGAACCTTTTTTTTTTCCCCTCACATGGGGAGGCACTGGATGACTGTTAGCTCGTGAGTGATTCCCTTTGCCTCCACAATGAAAACAGCACTAAAGAAAAGGCTAGCTCATGTTTTCTCTCACACCTGTAGATGTGACAGGTAGTTTGGATGGAAAGCAGCACAGCATGTAGATAAACGTTTTACGTAGACTACAGAATCATAGGTTAACTTTAGCAAAGACTTCTATTTAGAGACAGTAGGAAAAATCAAGTCTTGTCTTCAGTGGGTGGAGCCCTGGGAGGGCCCAAGAACTGCGGTGGAATTTTTTTTTCTGCCCTTCATGAACAAATGAATGTGGAATTTTGATTAAAATCGAAACCCAGAAGCTTATTTTGTGGTGGCTTCTTGTATATGTAATTAAAATTGGTGTTAACTTCAAAACAAGTGCACCTCTGTTTTGGATAAAGCCTGTATAAGAGCACTCCAGGACAGATGTTATAAAAAAAATTCTAGATTTCTTATTTAACCATCAAGAGAAGAAAATAAGTATCTATTTTATGACAGGAGAAAGAAGGTAATATTCTCCTCTTTTTTTTTTCCTCTTTTTTTTTTCCTTTTTTTGTTCTTCTTGCAAAAATCCTTCCAAAAGTCAGTAGCATGCTCAGTGGTTTTTTTTTTGGTGGAAAAGGAACGATGTTGTTTCTAAAAAGCTTTCACAGTGGTGTTTCCTGAACATTGTAGAAAGCTGAGAACCTGCTGATGCGTGCCTTTGACTTCCTGGCTCCTCTCCTGAGGGTGACCTTGTTATTCTTGTGAATGTTTGTTGTCCTTGTGAATATGCCTGCATGGAGAACAGGCACAAAGAAAAGAATAGTTGAAGACAAGCCCATTTCAGCAAGTACTGGAGGACTTTTACAGAGCATTGCAGGCTATTAGCTTGGAAGATTTTGGTGGCTATCCAGCTGACCTACAAAACCGGTGTGGGCCGGGTCAGAACAAAAGCAGATCAAGACCAACCAGCTCAAGACAGCTCTGGCAGGTTCTCAGAGGGAGCAACGACTAGGGGAAGCCTGGTTTGGAAGCGCAAGCTTATCTCGGATAGAGAAGACAACAAGGCATGCAAGAAACGTGAGAGTGTGCATTCTGAAAGCATGACGAGGAGACAGAAGCAAGTCTTCATAATTAGTGTTGTGTTTGCACCAGGTTCAGCACAGTGCTGCCAGGGAGACGTTGATTCAAGCTCTGAAGCTACCTGGTTTGGTGCTAGGTCACTGTCTTTGCATCATATTCGTTGTGTCATGGAAATGCCCATCTTCCTTTATTACTGTAACTCACTGGCAACACAAGAAGACTGCGAAATGATAGGTTACTGTCCATTTGCTGATTGGCATCAGTAGATGCAACACCCATCAATGGAATCCTGTTCACTTCTCTCAGACTTGGATTTGGTCCATGAGTATTTAATGGTTTGACTTACATCTTGTAAGACAACTTCTTTGATTGCATGCCCTCATTATCGATCTTCTGTCTGCGATAAGCTTGATTTGGGTGTTCAAAGCAGGAAAATAGACAGAAACCAGATTTTAAAAGGTGAAAAAATGGAGTGTGGTATTAAACTACAATTGACAGTTTGAAAGAATTTTCTTTATTTCAAATACAATCTTGTCCTTTTTCTTTGGCTACTAGAAATACTGCCATTGGCACCAGTAAGACTGACCATTGAAGAAGGCAATTCCTAGCACCAGTGAACAATTTGTTTGACAGAAGAGTTAAAAACCAAAATCATATGCAAATTCCTATCAAATTCCTATTCAAGATCCCAGCAAGTCACTTCACTGAGTTGTTAGCTTTTCTTATTGAGGCTTTACAAAATTAGAAGAAATAATGGAACAGAAAAAGATAGCAAAATTGCTGGCTGGCTGTCCTGAAGAAATTGTGAGCTGCAATAGAATTTCATCTAAATGTGGTACAAGAGATATGTCAGATATAAGACTTTGAAGAAGTCAAGTTTTGTGCAGACTGCCTGCCCCTGTGTAACTCCTTGTGCTGGAAAGAGTCAGGTAATTTTTTGAAGTTCGTGAAAGATGGGTCTTGTCCATCTATCACATGTAAACTTAGACTTGCATTTGTCTCAAACCTTCAAGCACCTATCTCATGGTTTTTTTTGTAGGGAATATGGGTATTTAGTTCAGGAGGGCATTTTTACCAGGTATTTAAGATATAAATGCTTAAAGTGCCAAGTTAGGAGCTGGTCCAGTCAAAGGTGGGAGAAGATGAATTTCTGCTTTCAGTCGTATTTTCCTGTGCAGAGTTGATGGGATTGGAGTATGAAATCTTGTGCTTGGACAACTCTGAAAACAGGACAAATGCTGAATAAATTAATCCTTCAGCTATTTATTCCCTGAAAAAAGTGAGTTTTCACATTAAGATAATTATTTCAGTGGAAGATGCTAGTTGAAACAGGCCATTTCATTGCTGTTTGCCTCAAACCACGACAAAGTGTAGTTTAGTTGGGAACTGCTTTATTGAAAAGTCTCGATGCCTTCATGAGGATTTCATGCTAAGCTTCTTAATGTCAGGTGGGCAACCTCTGTATAGGAGCACACCTTTTTGCAATAAGTACATAGGCTGCCAGGCAATATTGGTGTCTGATTTGTAAATGGTGGCATGTCAGGTGTGTGCGCATAACGTAACCATGCATTGTAGTGCTTGAGTAGTTAAGCAATGACATTTTCTGTACATTTATGTTTGTGTTCTACAGGGAGTCATGACACTATGACCTACTGCTTGGACAAAAGCTCTGCTGTTAGTGGCAATGATTCCAAGCTGGTGAAGTTTTTAAACAAATGTATGCCCTGCATTGTGCACCCCATTATCATGAAGTGGTCTACAACACAGGTAACTGTTGTTTAGCATTCTTGTCATGCCTGGGCAAAGTTGAAGCTTGTGCTGCAGTGTTGAGAATGGTCACGCTCTCCCATGCGCAATGAAAGGATAGCCTGCTGCCCAGAAATGTGTGCTCTTGTGAGATACTGTGCTTGTGTGTCATGGTTTAACACCAGCTGGCAATGAAGCACCAGACTGTCACTCGCTTGCTCCCCCCTGGTGGGATGGGGGAGAGAATCAGAAGGGTAAAAGTGGGAAAACTCGTGAGTTGAGATACAGACATTTTAACAGGTAAAGCAAAAGCTGTGTGTGCAAGCAAGGCAAAACAAGGAATTCATTCACTACTTCCCATTGACGGGCAGGTGTTCAGCCATCTCCAGGAAAGCAGGGCTCCATCACACATAACAGTTATTGGGAAGACAAAGGCCGTCACTCCGAACGTCCCCTACTTTCCTTCTTCTTTCCCCCATCATATGGTACGGAATATCCCTTTCGTCAGCTGGGGTCAGCTGTCTCAGCTGTGTCCCCTCCCAACTTCTAGTGCACCCCTATGCTACTCGCTGGTGGGGTCATGTGAGAAGCAGAAAAAGCCTTGACTCTGTAAGCGCTGCTCAGCGATAACAAAAACATCCCTGTGTTATCAAAACTCTTTTGAGCACAAATCCAAAACATAGCCTCATACTAGCTACTATGAAGAAAATTAACTCTACCCCATCCAAAACCAGCACATTGGTGTATGAGATAGGTGCCACATATACCAGATCTTCTTTTGTGAGGAAAAAGCATGTAGGTGAGGCAGGGATGATACATGGACAAACATGTTGCTTAAAGCTGACCACTTCGTACTAGAAACTCATCTTCTTTTTCACATGTTTATTGTTGTTATAAATAACTGTCATGGTTTAGCCCCAGACAACAACAAAGAACCATGCGGTCGCTCTCTCACTCCTCCCCCCATCCCCGGTGGCATGGGGAGGAGAATCAGAAGGAAAAGGCAAAACTCGTGGGCTGTGATAGAAGCAGTTTAACAAAATCGCAGAGGGAGAAGAAAATAACAACAAGAATACTGATAAAAAGAATATACAGCATGCAATGCTCTCACCACCCAATGCTCAGCTTGCTCCTGAATAGCAATCCCCTTCCTTCAGCCAGCTCCCCACTTAAATGCCAAGCAGGACTTCACATGGTATAGAATATCACATTTTATTGCCTGGTTTGGGTCAGCCCACCTGGCTTCTTGTGCAAATTAACCCTATCCCAGCCGAACCCAGGACAAGAACATTTAATATTATTATAATCAAAAGTGCTTTTCCTCTTGCATTTTGTTCAGAAGGTAATGCTTGTTATTTCTACTGTCACTGTTGGCTGGGATGGCCGTTGTTTTCCCCATCTATGTTGTGTAAGAATTTCACCCAGCAGCAGAGACAAAAATCTTGTTGAAGGGAATTTTTTTTCCATAAAGATTAAGAGAATGAAGGTGTGGTCCCTCATGCAAGGTTTAGTTAATTTTTCAAAATGTCTAAATATTAAGCTAGTAGTTGTGTCTTTGTTCCTCACAAATGTATGTTAAGGACAAAATTTGAGATCATGATTTAAGCTAGAGCTTTTGAAGATTTTTCTAAAGAACAGGCTTTTCTGGCATCAAAGAGGTACCAAAAGACTTTTCACTTTTGTTCTTATTGAAGGACTGGTTTGTTATTAGGGGATTAAAACTGAATAATTGATAAATGACAATATTATGCCTAGGTTTCTTCTGTTGTGTTTGAGCAGGCATGGCAAACTGGAGCGTTAGACACAATCAGATACCAAATATGTAATGGCAGTGACAAGTTGATGCGGAAAGGCACTTGCTTAGCACAGGGTGTCGTGTTGAGCTGCTTTGTGCTTTGGGACTTCAGCCAATGAAAGGTATTGCTGTCTCCTAAGTTGTGGGTTGCTGGCCACTGAAGTGACCCCGTTGGTGACAAACAAGCTCCTTACATCATCATAGTTATTTTCTGGTCTGAACCCAGCGTGCTGAGTGGGGAGTGGCCCGGCGCCGAAGGGAAGGAGGCATGGCTGCAATCCTGCTCCTCCTCAGCTCTGCTGTGCTCGAGTTATCTTTGTGAGGAGGTGACTCTCCACACACTGGTTTCCAGAGCAGAGCTCAAGCAGCCCTCGTGATGGTAGGGCCCACAGGTTCCTGGGTGGCCCAGTGCTGGAGGAGTTGGTGCCTGGCTGTTACAGGTGTCAGTCTAGAGACCCATGTTATAGCAGCCTTCCAGTACCTGAAGGGGGCCTACAGGAAGGATGGAGAGGGACTTTTTACAAGGGTTTAGATTAGGTATGAGGAAGAAATTCTTCACCATGAGGGTGGTGAGACACTGGAACAGGTTGCCCAGAGAAGCTGTGGCTGCCCCCTCCCTGGCAGTGTTCAAGGTCAGGGTGGATGGAGCTCTGAGCAACCTGGTCTAGTGGAAGGGGGGCCTGCCCATGGCAGGGAGGTTGGAACCAGATGATCTTTAAGGTCCCTTCCAACCCAAACCATTCTATGAGTCTATGAGTCTATGATTCTATGATTCTATCTTTCCTGTGCAATGGCTGATGGCAGCTGTGTAAATTCCTGCCCTATATGTCTGGTGTGAGATTCCAGCACTGAGCAGCATCGCTTCCCAAGGCTTCCTCTTAGGTTTTACCCTTGGGGACAATGTTCATGCTGTCTATCCCGAAAAAGAACACTAGCCAGTACTTTTTTCTGGTTTTGTTTTTCCTTTTGTTGGGGATGAGTGAGCTCCACAGAGACAGCCCTGATAAAGTCCTTGATCTAGTAAAATAAATACAGCGTTTCTAAGGTGATGATCCTGCAGCTTTAGTTCATATGAATAGTCCTGTGAAGAGCAATTGTGTATTTACGAACAGGTTAATGGATCTTTAATTTTCAGAACGCAACAAGGGCAGGGGTCTGAAACTAACCTAATCCGTGCCTGCAGTCTATGCCGTAGGGAAATCATCATCGCTCCCGTCAGAGAGTAAAATACTTCAAACTTGCAAGTTGGTGCTGTATAGTGCCATTTTAAAGATGAAAGACCTGTGAAAAATGTCGTAGGGCTAAATTTGTACACCTCTTTTGGCTTTCTAAATGAAAGAAGCAAATCCCTTCCAAGCTCTGAGGACCTTTGTCTTCTGCTTCACCTTTCAGGTGCTGACTGTGACAGAGCAACTTGAGGCCGGAGTTAGATATCTGGATTTCAGGATTGCCCACAAGGCTAATGATCCATCTGTGAACTTGTACTTCGTGCATATGGTTTACACAACTGTTACTGTACAGGTACTGTCCTTACCTTTGGGATGGCTATAAAAATGGTGCTGTTTCTTTTATTTAAGAGCCATCATAATCTGAAAATGCTGGTTTTCTGAGTAGGTTATTTGTTTTCCTACTGTGAGGTCTTCAACCTAGAGAAAATCAGCGGGGCTGGAAGTTAGTTTCAGCAGCTGCAAGTGAGACTGCAGCATCAATCCATTCCTCATCCTCAAACCAGAGCTGCTGTGCCTTGCTCTCCACTGCCTATCCCCTACCAAGTACCCGATGTTTCTGGAGTTTTTCTTGTGTTGTCCCAGGATGCTACCTAGGGCAATCCCGTTTCCCCATTAAGGAGAGAAGGTACTAAAAGCCTAATAAAATCATAGAAACCTGATTTGTTTTTTTTTGAGGAAAAAGTATTTCACTGAAAGACAGAGAAACTTAAGTCTGGATCCCATGATCAAATTACTGTCAGCTACTATGAAGAAACTACTGTAAGTTGCTCTTTGCATGCAGTCTGTCACTACGGACTAGTTTACGTCTTGTTTCCGTTTGCTGGGACCTGTACAGGCAGGCACAGCCAGCTAATGCAGCTTTTCATTTGTAGACTAACTGGCTAAACTTCAGTTTCCTGCTCATGAGTCTGAACCCTTCACGCCTTGAGATTTCATGGTGACTGGCATGCTCATGTAAACCATTAGATGTAGTGTCTGCCTCTGCCTATCCTGCTAATTACACACAGTCTTCAAGAAGTTGTCATTGCCCGTAAGAAATGTGGAAAAGAGGTCCTGTCATGTTTAAGCAAGCACAGAGCTGCTCCCTGGTTTTGAGTTTGCCACTAACACATTGTTTGTCCTTAAAGAAGCTTGGGAAGATGGGTTTACTGCTAACCTGCCTCTAGGCAGTAGGAGATTCTTGGATATTATCAAAACACAAAGCTGTGAAGTGTAGCGTGCTGGGTCCACATCCAGACCAAACCAGCACAGACCTGCAGAAGGTCGGTTTTCCTGGGGTGCATGTCTCTGTAACACCTCGTGGGCTGTCAGATGGCCGTCCTCCAGAAACCTACGCTGATTGTTACTACTGTGATTGTGAGTCTTCCTTACCGTCAGTGCCCTGGTGGTTTTATGTCTTTTTTGTTCTGCATAGCATAGACGACTTTCTAAATTGCTGTGACTCTCTCTTGTAGGATATTCTGTGGGAAGTGTTAAGGTGGTTGGAAACTCATCCTCAGGAAGTTGTTATCTTAGCCTGCAGGAATTTTGATGGATTAACCAAGAAACTTCACTGTAATCTTATTGCCTGTATAAAAGAGATTTTTCAGTGTAAACTGTGTCCCAGAAATGTAAGTATGAGATCTTGTTTTTCCTCATTTTTTTAGGAATGATATATTACAGTGAGATCTTTGATTCCAGGTTTTTAGATATATTCTGCTTTCTCTATATATCTAACCTAGGAAAAGTAACATTTGCTGCATCAGAGATAGGTCTTTGTCTAATAAAATTGAGGACATAAAGCAAACCTACATCTCAGTGTGGAGGAGGGAATTAAATTTGACTGTCATGTCTGTTGAGCTGTGGGACAACAGTAGGGACACAGCTGCCATCCACTGTCCTGTGTGAGTTTTTTTAAAAAAAAAAAAAAAATTAAAAATGGTGCGTGTGTGTGTGTTATAAATATAGTCTTTACTACTTTTATAGAATTTAAAGAATCCATTTTCTGCCTTTTCACAGCAGTATTTATAAATGAATTTTGATGCTATTTATAATAGTTCAGGTTGGAAGTGAGGAAGTGACCTCCAGAGGTCATCTGGTCCAACCCCACCATGTAAAGCAGGACCCATCCGTTCTTTAATATCTCCAAGGATGGAGATTCTGCAACCTTTCTAGGCAGCTTGGTCCAGTGTTTGACCACTCTCACGGTAAACATGTTTACTTTCTGTCTATCTGATCAGAATTTTATCTTGCCGTAACTTGTGTCTGCTGACTTTCATCCCTTTTTGCTACGCATCTCGGAGGACTGTCTGCCTCTGTCTTCGATATCTGTGCCCGTTAGGTGTTTGCAAACAGCAGTAAGACCTGTCCATAGTCTTCTCTCCTTCATGCTGAACAGACCCAGGTATCTCAGCCTGTCCTTGCATGTCATGCTCCAGCCTCTGCTCACTCTTGTTGCATGCTGCTGGACTCACTCCAGCATATCAATGACTTTTTTTGGTACTGGGGAAGCCCCAGCTGGACACAGTACTTGAGATGCAGCCCCACAAGTGCTGAATAGGTGGGAAGAACCCCCTCTCTTGACCTGCTCTCCATGCCTTTACTCATACAGCCCAGTTTGCAGATGACCTTTGCTGCATGGGCACGTTGCTGGCTCATGTTCAGCTTGGTGTCCGCTAGGACCTCCAGGTCTTTTTCTGCAAAGCAGCTTTCTACCCATCTGCGCCCAGTCTATCCTGGTGCATAGGGATAGTGCATCCAGGTGCAGGACTTTGCATTTGCCTTTGTTGAGCTTCATGAGGTTTCTGGAACCCATGTCTCCAGCCTGTCGAGGTCCCTCTGAAGAGCATCTCTGCCCTCAGTGCATTTCGGGTGACTCTGACTTTCTTTCCGGGATGTGAGCTGGAGCTGACCTTCCAACAGCCTAATACGCTTTCAGTCACCCTAACCTCCAGAGAAGCCTTAATTTAAATAATCAGAAGTTATGTGATTGCTAAATTTTAGAAACTGGGCTTTTTAGCTTCCTCTTTTTTACAAAGTGTGGGAGCTTTTAGCAGTTAAACAATTAACATTTCAAAGATGCACAGGAGCAGAGGGTTTTCTCTGGAGATGTGAGGGGTACAGGATAATGATGACCTTGTTTGTGATTCGAATTCAGCCTTTGAAGCTGGTGTATCAGTAACGGGTGAGTATTACCATTTCAAAGCATCTTGTACAGCAGAGTTAAAGTAGAACAATTCTCAGCAAAACTAGGGGATTCTGAATATTCAGGCCACAGCTGAATAACTGAAGGCCTGAGTGACACTGTTCTATTGTTTCCCCACGTAACTTGAGTGTGCAAGTCATGGATGAGCAGAGCAATACTGGAGAAGACGGACAAATTTGCTTTCAGACACATGCCCAGCGCTTAAAAAAAGTTATTAACTGCAAAAGGGGCACGCTGCTGCTGATAGTTTGTTGAATGAAGGTGATGAATGAATGGTTTGAGATCACCTGACTGAAGAAAGAAGAAAGTTTCTAAGTGGTGTCTTAGCAGAGGGAGGAAGGGGACTGGAGAAAAGAGAAGCCAAGTACTTCCCTTGAGCAGGAAGACTTCACTTGTAAGGGGTCTGTGACCACCACGATGGATCTCACGATTTTTGCAAGTGATACCATTGCAGGTTAGACAGCTGTAAGGTTTTTCAGGATCACAGGCTTGGATTGAACATCAAATGACCAAGTGCTTGCTCGCTTATTTTGAAATAATCTGTTATCTGCTGTCTTTCAAGACTGCAGCTCTGGTGTTGTACAAAAGTAAATGTTAAAGTATTTATGAAGCAACTGCTCTAACTAGAGGTCTGTATGTAGTACTGGCACAGGCCACAGCGTGACAACATTACATTGCATTTAAAATTTTAATTGCCTTAACTATTCAAGGTGTCTTCCTTTGATCTGTATTTCTAGGGTTTAAAAATCCCTTGTTAGCCATCTACACTTTATCCTCTGCTTTGTTTGCAAAATAAGCACCTGTGCTCATGTACATATTTCTGCTAGGGTTTTTTTTGGCTCTTGTATCACTTCTCTTTTTTTTTTTGTAATAAAAAAAGTTTCAGCTTTAGAAAGGCAGCTGGAGTAAAGCAAAGGCTTCTGTCAAACACAGATTTTTGTAGTTATGAGTAGCTTGTGTTTTAATTTTACAGCATTTTCTGACCTAATTGGGCCTTGCACTCTGTCTTTCTGGGATGAAGCAAGAGGAATTCCCATGTTCATTCAGCCCTTGGATCTCTTCAAAGATTTACCTAAAAAAATTTCAACTACCTTTGGCTTTTATGTTAATTAATAAGTTAATTGGAACATGAAAAAGCCACCATTTCCTTTTCACAAGCAAGTCACGCTTTTAACCACCAAAGCTCTTAAAAAAACAATGCCTGTATTAAATATGTTGGTTTTGCAAATAAAACTAGTCAGAGGGCTTCTTTTGAGGACTGGAAAATGTTATTTCATATTGAAACACTTGAATTTAACAGACCTGTTTCAGCCTGCCTGTCTTTTAGAAGGTTTCTGACGCAAGTCTTCCATTCTCTCAATTCAAAACATCTGGGGCACCCCTATTTCAGAAACTTTGCACTTAGAGAAATCAGAATTAAAATATCTCTTGAAAAACTCCCATTTAGTCTTGCCGGGTCTTGAACAGTTCAATTTTCATTAGTTTCTGTGGAAAAAAATATGGATCGATGTGAGGCATTTGCC